ACACACACACACACACACACACACACACACACACACACACGGCAATTTGGCTCCCGTTCCATCAGCAGCAAAATGGAAAGGAAGATGCCCTGTAACTCAATAGCAAGTTATCGTACTGTTCCCATTTAGCTCTTGTGCAAAACTGTGGCTTATTTTAATTAGAGTTTATTGAACACAGCACAGCTGATTTAAGACCGCACAATGCACTACGTCATAATCCCTCCCAGGCAAACCGCACTGAACAGGGATCAACAAACAACACACCGAGCCAAGAATCACACAAGCCACACTGGAGCGGGATGTGAAGCACATCACTTATTAAACGAGATCTTTGCCGCGACCACCGAGGCCTTCGCGCACTTACCCACACGTTGTTGTTTTCTGACGAAGAGGACCCAAAGATTCGGCCATCCACATGCACCGAATTTGTATTCAAAGGAGTTCTGGTTACATTTTCTAAGTCTAGCAGGTTTTCTACAGTGGCTGCTTTGTGTGGAAAGGAAAAAAAATAAATAAGGATGAGATAGAAGAATAAGAATGAAAAATAAGAATACGGGCAATCCTCAACTTATGACCACAATTGAGCCCAACATTTATATTTTTAAGTGAGAAACTTAAAAACTCACTTGAGTTTTGCCTCATTTTATGACCTTTCTTGCCACATGACTCTGAGACACTACAACCATCATAAATGTGAGTCAGTTTTCAAGCATGCGAATGACTAGGGGGATGCTACAATGGTCATAAGAGTGAAAAATGGTCATAAGTCACTTTTTTCTTTTTTTTATTATAACAAATTTTATTAGTTTTTACAAAACAATACACAAACAAAGCATAAAATATAATAACATGAAAGATCTTTTCTGAAAAAACCAATAGAACATCTTATTTAGAGACAGAATAATTCCAAATTATCACATTTCCATACAAGCACAATTTAATATATATATTTACGTTATCTGTTCAACTTCATATCTTATCCCAACTTCTCTTTATTTCTCCCTTTCATTCTATTATTCAAATTATATTTCTTGTTAATAGAAATTTTATTGCTTTTCAAGGACAACACAAACAAACAAACAAAACATAAAACATAAAAACATAAAATATCTTTTCTGAAAGTTGATTGATCCCGGGTTAAAACTCTTCGTACAGACACAAATTCAAAAATCATATTCATTTTATATACCATTCCATATCTTATTACCATTTTCAATTTTCTATATAGCTTCTCCCCTCTTTTAACTTTCTTAGTTTTATTTTATTTATCTCATCTCAATTCAAATCATAATACTTATCATTCTTTGTCTGTTCTATTTCCAGCTATCCATTCATCTTTTCTCTTTAAACAAAACTTCTCCTGTACACTGATTGGAGTATGACGCCTTTAACTCTTTCCCCTAACTTAATAATACTTAATATAACACATAACTTGTATTGGGATTCTGTTTAGTACATTCTAAAGTTACACAATGTATTTTATAAGAGAGAAAAAACGAATAACAACAAAGGAACAAATTTATAAGTATATAATGTAGTTAAGACCACTATCAATGCCATTAAAAAACTAATCATACATATTAATACTCATTTATATCTTAAGCATTTTATTCTAAATACACATATAGAAACACAATCTTATGTACCTTTACAGAATCCCTTTTTCAATTAAATTTACCCATTGTCTCTGAATGAATTTTGTTTCTTTAAATCTTGCTTCCCACCATTGAGGCTTCTCATCCCTTCCTTTCTCCCTTGCTTATTCTTCTCCTTGCCCTTTTTACCCCTTTGTCTCTCCACCTCCTTTTTCTTCTTCTGCTTTCCCCCTTTCTGTTGTTTTCTAACCTTGTATCCAACTTTCAGCTCATTTTTCTCTTTTTTGGTTGTTTTTTCAAATCTTAAAATCCCCCTTTTCTTTTCCTCTTTCTCCTCCTCCCCAAATAGAATCACTTGTTCATCAAAGATGGCTTCTTCTTTATCCCAGTCGTCCTGCTGCGCAGTCAATTTTTCATAGGTACATACCGCCATTTCTAGAAATTGAAAAAGAGTGCCCAAAGTATCTTTCCCTTCTTGTTCTTCTTTTTTGTATTTTTGATATTCAGTTTTTTAGTTCATCCATAAGCGATGCCATTGTAAAGAGAAATTTTTTTTCCAAAACAACCACCCAAGTACTTTTAATCAAAAATAATTCCCAAGAGTTCCAAAGTCACCAAACAATCCAAATAAACTATTTCTTTTAGTACTTTTTTCTTTCTTCCATTTCTCTTTCTGGGGTTGCTGTTTAATCACAAAGTTCCAATTAAAATATATCTTTTAGAAATCTTATTAATATTTAATAGCTCTTTAGAATTCTAGGCAATCTCCTCCATATTTTCAAATTCTGCTCCAATTTTTTTTCCTCTCCCTTCCCACTTAGAGCAAAAAAGATTTTTCTTTAAATGTTCAGAAATCCATATCCCTTTAGCATTTAATTACCTTCAATGTGGGTTTTCCGATTTCTCTTAGAGTTCTATCACTGTCACGTTCGGAAGGAGAGTGAAAAGAAAAAAAGCTTTTCCTTAACTTCCATTTGCCGCTTAACACACTCTGGAAACGATGTATCTTTAGTAGGTTTTAAATTCCAGGGTACTTTCACTGTTACTTTGTCCTGGTCAGCAAAGATCACTTTCACTTCTTCACAGCTCCTCCTGCACTTTCTTTTTTCGGCTGAGCTCTTCTATGTGGCGGCCATTGCTGACTGCCGCTCAGCTGCCTTCGGAAAAGGGGGTTTAGCCAGCTAGGGAAGAGAGGTGCAATATCTCTCGACCCTGCCAGACCCCCCCTATCTTTGCCACCTTCTACAGAGGTGGCTTAGCCCCGAAGCCGGATGGCTTGGGGCACTCGGGCAGTGAACACAGGCAGAAACCGCGTACGGTTGCGGAATCCTGCCTGCCCCGAAGCACTGCAAACCGGAAATCCATAAGTCACTTTTTTCAATGCCAGTCACTAAATGAACTGTTGTAAGTCAAGGACTAGCTTTAAGAGGTAGTCTAGTGGCACAATGTTTATAATGCAGTACTGCAGGCTGATTCTGCTGTCTGCCAGCTGCCAGCAGTTCGAGTCTCACCGATTCAAAGTTGACTCAGCCTTCCATCCTTCCGAGGTGGATAAAATGTGGACCCAGATTGCTGTGGGCAATAGGCTGACTCTGTAAATCACTTAGAGAGGTCTGTAAAGCACTGTGAAGAGGTATATAAGTATAAGTGCTGTTGCTATTGCAGATTAACTCTGCCCAGTGCCAGGAATTCAATCCTGACTGATCCAATATTGAGCTATATGTTTGATTTGGATACCTTTACCTTTCCTGCAAGAGCATACATAAAGTGTTGAGCCACAGTGGCGCAGTGGTTAGAGTGCTGTACTGCAGGCCACTTTTGCTGACTATCGGCTGCCTGCAATTTGGCAGATCGAATCTCACCAGGCTCAAGGTTGACTCAGATGTCCATCCTTCCAAAGTGGGTAAATGAGGACCCAGATTGTTGGGGGCAACAGGCTAACTCTGTAAACTGCTCGGAGAGGGCTGGAAAGTGAAGCAGTATATAAGTCTAAGTGCTATTGGTAATGATGAAGCTTAGGAAAGAAAAGGATTAGTTAAGGTTTTCTTTTCAGCTTCGGGTGGGCTGCAAACCTGCCTCAAAAGTTGCAGGATTTTCTTGAATTTTCCAGAAAGGAGGGCGGGGAAAAACATGGGCCCACAACAATACCTGTCAATCTCCTAGCCTGAGCTAGCCCCTAACTTTTTGCAAGAGTCTGTAGAACTGCAGAAAAGCCTCTTCTGTGAGCTGATGAATGTGCACCGACAACCTTTTTGAACCCCTTTTTCTCCACTGATAGTTGCTCTTTCTTACGGATGACGGAGAAATAAAACAGACTTTCTCTCTTGCCCTATACCTGGCTCTCCTCCCTGAAGGATCTCAAGGGCCATAAACTAGTTCCAGAAGCTTGTTTTGACTCTTTTCTATTTTCTTTGAAGAAGAAAACAAGTTCTTTCTCTATTTTCTGTTTAAAGTCTTTTTCTTTCAGTATCATATTATTTAAAGTCCATCTAGATCTCCTCTTGTGTCCTTTCCAAATAACTGACACTGGATTATGATCTGCCCAAGTGCTTGTTTCTATTTCAACCTGTCGTACATTAGTCAATAATTCTGCTGACATCCATATCATATCTGTTCTAGACCAGGATGTGTGCCTGTTGGAATAAAAAGTATATTGCTTATTTTCCTCATTTTTCTCTCTCCATGCATCTTTTAAATTAAATTCTTCTGTTATTCGAAGGAAGGATTTTGGTAGTATCTTTCTAACTTTCTTTGTTGTTTTCTGTGTTTTATAGTCCAACCGGTTGTTAATTATTCCATTAAAATCTCCCATCATACGAATATTAACATAGTCCAATTCAATTATTTTTGTATGTAATTTTCTATAGAATTCTTCTTGTTTATCATTCGGGGCATAAATTGAAATTAAAAGTGTTTTAGCACTGTTATCCGTTATTTCCACCATCAAAATTCTTCCATCATCATCTGTGTAAATTAGTTTTGCCAAAATTGTTTCTTTAATATATAATGCCACACCTCTTTTTTTAGATTGTGCCAGCGACATAAATAATTTCCCTAGTTTTCCTTGTTTTAGTATACATTCATGTTGTTTTTTAATATTTACCTCTTGTAAGCAGATTATATCAAATTTTAATTTTTCTAATTTATGAAATACTTCCCTTCTTTTAGTAGCCAAATTAAGTCCATTTATGTTAATCGTAATCAATTTTCTTTCATCCATGTTAAGCTTTATAAGAGGGTTTTATTACTCTAGTAGATCTCAATTCTCGTCCTCTGGGTTCACCGCCTACTGCACCTTCTTCTTTTTCTTTTTCAATTACTGATATACACTCCTCTTGGAACTCAATTAGTGACTCTTCCTTTCTTTCTTCTTCCTCCTTTTCTCTAAAGTATTCTAAGTAGAATAGCTCAGCTTTTCCAACTGTGTCAATTCTGTGTCTTTGTTCCTGCCAAGTGAACAAGAGGCCTTCTGGCATCAGCCAACTACAGTTTACTCCTCTTTTAAGTTACTCTTTAGTCAAGAATAAATATTCTCTTCTCATCTCTCTTACTCTTCTTGGTATCTGTTTCAGCACCACAATTTCTTTATCTTTATAGTGTTTTCTCTCTTGCCACCTGGAGTTTCTGTGTCTTAATAATCTTCTTAGTAAATCTAATGTGAACTTCTCTTGATAATCTATTCCTCGTTGCATATCTTGTGTAGACATGAAACACTTCGTCCATCCCATCCATCATCTTTTCTTTGGTTATTTCCAGTGCTTCTGCCAATATTTCTGCCATTATTTCAGCAAGATTTTCACCTTTTCCTTCTTCTATATTTTGAAATCTTAGATAAAATTCTGATTTGTCTATTTCCCATCCTAATGGTTCAAATCTGCCCTTCTCTAC